TCCCGCGGGAAACTTGAAAACGCAGATTAAAACAACATGGTGTAAGGGTCTAATAATCTTCTTCAGTCTTTTCTTTTATCACCCTTTGGTTTTCATGTCTATCTATTCTTACAGGCAAATTGTATTTATTCATTCGGTCGGTCCTAAAGTCCGCTGCTGGTTGGTCGGTCGTCGGGCCGGACACCTTTAGCACAACGTTCTTGCCAGATCCCGCAAACTTCAAACTGCAGTTCGACATCAGGCGTTTTCCGTCAAATTTATGGGAATTAGCAAGGCGTCACAACGAAGTTGTTGCTGGAGGAACCGCCATATTGAATTTTGTTGATGCTGAGTGTTTCTCCGTGTTTGTCAAGGGAATGACACGTGGTCTGAAATGSGAAAACATTGCGCCCGGGGAGTCGGGGAGGTCTATAGCATGAAAGAAGTGTTTACAAGGGTACTGTAAAGGGACCGCTCTCGATAGGCTGTACAAGGATTTATACTTTATTTCTCAACTTTTTCTTCTAATAACTGATTACACTGGAATACGACTAGTTATATTTATAATGGTTTCATGACAGTTGTCAATCAAAGATATCTTGTACAGAATCTCTAAACTAAAATTGGTTAATCAAATATGTGCATTCTTAGGCTCAATATTCAGATTGGTATATTGGTATATAAATCTAATGATTACACATAGCTAGAGCTAAATATAATGAATAACAGTAACACGACTAATTTATAATAAAGATTATAAGGCGTGTTCGCGTCATAAGACTTTAGAGGACATTCCTTAAATGAATGAACTAAGGAATGAAAATACAAAAGGGGTGACCAAGGGGTACGAGTATTTACCAGAGGATTAGCACATTATTTGCAATCTAGCGCGCGTAAAATAGAAGGGTAGGACGGGTACGTTTTTCCCGTCCCGCTCACGTCAACCCCTCCGGCCTCGATATTACGTGACTTTATCCAAAGGGTTTATTATGGCGGGCGAGCATGGCCCTATGTGTAATATGATAATAAGAAATCCTCACTAATAGGTCTACTAGATTGTAAAAAAACAAGTTTACTCGCTATTTCAGCAATAAATGACGTCAAACGAAGTTTTTACAATAACTTACAARTTTTTAGCGGTCTGATTTCCAATTTTTATCATCAACAAGGGCACAGATAGAGGAAACTGACGTCAACGAGCGTGCACTCTTTCCGTTGGTTGTTTTGATCACTAAAAACGAAAAGTTTTTATCGGTTTTGATTTTGTTTGTGTTATTGTAAAGCAAAAAACTTTTTCAGTTTTTTATGT